TCTCCAAGTATCACACCATTCATTTTTTCTTCAAGCTTCATGGCATTTGCTTTCTTTTCAAAGGAATGATATTTCCTATGAATGCCAATTTAATGGGTTGCAATAGTGAATCACCAACTTCTCCTTTGAAATTGGCTTGGCATACTTAATGAAGAAAAATTCATGTTTTAGGATACAACTTCACACATTACCACTTGTCAGCATGTTCATATTCTTGCATCCTTCATCTCTCATTTCCCATCCATGTTTATTTCTTTTCTTGCATTCCCAAAAATGCATGCTTTAGGATACAACTTCACACACATTATCACTGATGCACTAAAATCACCCAAACAAGTGTATTAGTTGCTCCAAGTAATATAATGATGAGAAGAATGTCGAATCCACGAGAATTTTGTCTAATTAAGTACCAAAATAATTAATCTAAATTTATTTGAACAATCAAATCGGAAAAAACTTTAATTAAAAATAATAAAAAGAAAATAACAAATAAACCTAACCAAGATATGAGGTACTAAGGCATTAATTTCACCATAATCAATCAATATAAATTTTGGATTAATATATTTTCAAAACCAATTTATTGAGTGTTATTGCATGTGATAGCGGATTTCTCTAAATTAATTAACTAGCTTTCTTAAGTCAAGTTAATCCTTCACTGGTTTGTTAAATTAATCATATCTCTATGTAATTTTAAACAAATTAATAAGCATTAAATTCTATGGAAACCTCTAGCTTAAGAAGGGGGAGCTCCTGACTCTCTTCTCTTCCTCCACTACCACATGTGAGCTAATTACCTCTCGGTCTCATAGTCTAACACACGGTTTATATTATTATTGGTCTAATCTACGCAATTCTTTCTCAAATTCATGCATAAATCACTAAATCAATCGAAAGGTGATCAGGCTTCCAATGCATTAAGTTCAATAATATAAATTCATTATGCAAATAACTTTAATTGAAAAAATAAAATCACAAAATTTATATTGAATTGATTAAGCTACATCGTAGAATCAGTTCATAATAAAAATCATAAAATATGAAATCAAAATTATGAACATTCAAATATCAAATAATAGATAAAAATCCAAGGAAAAACAAAACCCAATTTGAGGAAATTGAATTCCTTGATCTTCTATTGTTGATGGAACCTCAATCTTGATCTTCAATAATGCCCAAAAGAGGGCTGCCACTAGCCTCTCAAAACTCTCTTCATTCTGAATTTGGATGGGTATTTATAGAATTTTAGAAACCCTAATTGAAATAGAAGTAAGACTTGGAATAGAAATAGGAAATGAATTTTAGATGCTGATCGCGTGGTGCTGACACTTCGGATTACGTGTTGACACAAAATAGGAAACAGAATCTGATTTTGGACGTTTAGCGTATGGTGTCGACACCCGATCATGTGTCGACACTACACCCGTGTCGGGTTTCTGGTCTCCTTTTGCAATTTCTTTAATGGTAAAATAGCAGATTTGGTTCCTGACTTTTGGATTCTGCACAAGTTGATCCTCAAGTCTCTGATCTCTTCAATTTACTTCTAAAAAGTAGGATTTCTTCCAATTAAATCATTTCCTACACAAAAAATGAAAACCATGTAAAATCAAACAAAATCCTATAAAACTCATCCAAATATCAATAAAATCAAAGTAAAAATTCCTTATTAATATGTATATAAATTTAGCTCATCAAATTCCCCCAAACTTAAGTTTTACTCGTCCTCGAGTAAAATAAAAAGACAAAAGAAACAAAAATAAAACCTAACTCACTTTCGTAGGAATCACGATTGCACTTAACATGTACAACAAGCCTTTAAACCCCTAGGTCGCCCTAGTGGACGAGGAGTTGTGTCTCGTGAGGGTTTGCAGTGGATCTACCCACAAAATCCCAATGCAAAAATGCAAGTATATGATATGTATGCAAAGAAAATTTAGGAATTAAAGGTCAATTAGAGGCAAAGTCTCAAATATTCAAAAGTTCTCATATGCTCACTTAAAGTAAAATACTCCATCTTATTCTTCACACCACTTGTTAAAAGATTTAACCCATGAGCACTTAGTGTGTGTGTGAAAATTCATAGTAAGAAGTTTTAAGTTTAGACCTTCACATCTTAGCACTTATTTCTATCCTTTTTTTTTTTCTCTACTCAATTTTTTTTTTCATAGGTCGAGTTTCCTTAGGCTTTCTAAGTTACCCATGTAATGAGCTTTTTGTCAATGACTCCCAAACCAATTGGCTTTAGGGCATTAGGTGAAGAGACACCCCTAAGAACATACTTACTCAAGTAACAAAGGCCACGAAACATTCGACTTCTC